TAATTGGCCATATACCCGGGAGGATAACAAGTCTTAGGCATGATGAAGAAAATTATTATGATGCTTACCAAATCAGTCAACGAAACACTAAAAAATGGTCCAGATAAATTCATTCTTTTTCACACACATTTACCTAGATATAAAACTTAACCTATAAACTTCCTTTTGCTAAATAGCAGTACACTGGAAACTACACCCTATTTTTTTAAAATAATAATAGGTAGGTACACGGTTTTCATCAACTCTGAAGTAACTGGAGATGGTGAAAATGTAAGATTGCACGAGAAAAATCAAGGAAAAATAAAAGTAAATAAGCCGGCATGAGATCCTGGGTCAAATACTCCAATGACAATTAGACAACAAGTGCAACAACATGCGGTGTTGCACTATTTCCTATTTCATGGCTTGATAAATAAAGATGGCTGTGGTTCTTGTAATTAATTTTGCGTATTCTTCTCGCTAGATGGCGGAGTCATCGATCAAGTTCTCAAGAGCATAATTCATTCATAGTTTGCACTAATTTATATGTTTACTATAAATTGAATTATTGCAAAAATAGAAGTGCTACTAAATTTAGGACTATGTTTTTGAACTAAAAACGGGTGTTCTAGTTAAATCTATTTTGGATGTTTGACAGTTCAAGTGTTCAAGAACTATCCAATGTTAATCCAGTCGGTTCATACTCTGTGGTCGGGAGTAGTTGCAACGATTTTCGAACTATGTATTAATTTTTGTTCTGACGTTGAGGTTAGATTTATTCGCAAACCACAAATGTCCATATTTATTTTGTTTGTCTGTATTTTAAGTACCTAGTTTAGTTATTATTATTCAGAAAGGAAGTGCTCCGAACACCAGGGCCGTGGCGCCATCTATTAGCAGTGAGTTATGGGAGTGACATTTTATCATTTTGACATTTAGTAAATAAACAATTAAAAATAAAATAAAGTCCTCAAATTATAGTTGTGAAATGTAATATTGCAGTCGCTTGAAGATAAAATGTTGTATGCCATTCGGCCTAGAAGGTCTTTTTGTGCTGAGCTCGACGTTTGAAGGCCGACCCATAGCGGAAAGCCTAATGACATAATTAACTATTTGATAGCTGTAGGAAGATTGGTATAGAGTTCTATTGCACTGCAGAGTACGGAATTCCTATGGATTCATTTGATAAACCTATAACTTGTTCCATAGTTGGTTTGGTGCTCAGGAAATTAAAACTTGTGTTTTAGGAGAATGAGACTAGCTGATTCCAAGATAAAGAGACATGGGAGGGAAGGATGGCATGGTTCAGGAATAAAGGTCCACAGTGATCTCTAGGAGAGGCACTGACCATGAATCAAAGTGCACGTTTCTGGAGTTCAAATGTGGATTGGAAGACATACTGTGGACAACAGCCTCAGAATGGTAGTCCGTAGGAAAGATGCGATTGGACGGTTGCAAAAAAACACATCAGATCTAGCAATAGAAAAATTTAGATATTTAGATTTGTGCCCACCGCTCTGACAAAGTAATACCCAGAGGCAATTTTCTTGTTAAGGGCAAGCGCGGATCCAGGGAGGGGCCATGGGGGCCATGCCCCCCCCTAGTTAAGAAAAAATAATTTTAAAAATCAACATTCAATCGACCAATTTTTCCGGGTTTACCAGGGCCCGTATATAACAGAATTTTATTTCATGGCGTCATTTTATCACGGATCTCTCGCCTATTCTATTTGTATGTACAGGGTGTGTGGTTATAATTTGACACCCCACTTGCAGCCTTTACCTTCACAGATAGATGATAGGTGTGAACACAAAAGTTGTGCAGTTTTAACTAAATATTCAGCAAAGTTTCTTGTAAGTTTTGTCTATATAAGTTTGTCTATATTTGTTTGTGCCGCCTTCAACATATTTGGCTCTAAAAATTGGAAAAATACTATCCTATAATGACGATTTTGTGAACCATTCTGATGACAGCTTCAGGTAAAATTTGAGGCACTTGGTTTCTCTGATAGTATTTCTAAAATTTTTGAAGCCAAATATGGTGGAGACGGCTCAACTAAAGAAACTATATATTTTTGGAATCGAAAAATTGTGCTCTTCAAGAATATATAGAATCAAATATAGGGCATTCTATTTGAAAAAAGTTGAAAGTACGCAAAATTTCAAATTTCTGACAATAATTTAGCTAAAACTGCTTCACTTTTGTGTTTACACCTATCATCTACCTTTAAAGGTGGGGTGTCAAATTATAACCAGACACCCTGTAGGTACCTGCCAATATTTTGTATGTCCCCCCCCCTTAATTTGGGTCTGGATTCGCGCCTGGTTAAGGGCGATGATGTGTGATTGACATTTAAAGTCAGTATCTACTGGGAGCCCGAGAAACTTAGTACATGGAGAAGACTTGAGTGAAAATACTCCGCAGTCTATGTCACCGATATTCCACCGGAAACCAAGTATTTAACGTCCGTAATATCACCGGATATCACCCGGACCTCGCCATACGACCGTTGCACTATCCGTAAACGGAGCAATAACTCCAAAAATGTGAAGGTTAATATCATTTTTCTTTGCGTGCTGGAGTTACTACGGCAGCAAGAAAAAATTTAGTGCATGTAGGAATATCAAAAACTATTATTGACCATCAACTACAAAATTCACATATCAGTGGCGTAATATCAGCAATTTATCCTTAAAAATAAAAATGAGAGATAAACATAAATATATACCTATATTTCTTTTTCACTTTACGCCTAAACCTCACACTCATCATTACACTTAATCCCATATTTTTCAAACATAAGCCAATAGCTACATAATAATGAACAGGCGAATGTACCTATTATTATATGCAGTTCAAATAGAATTTTTTAACAAAATAATTACATGGTACGGGTTCGTTGGTAAGCTTCTCTACTAACAGCATCCGCGGAGTAAAAGTTTGACTTAATATGGTACCTGACGCTTAGTGTTCATTTATAACGAATTATTCTTCAAATTCAACCTGTAATTTGAGTCGGCTAAACTAATTTGAAATACTTTGGATTTCAAACGCTTTCTTTGAAGAAATTATTTAATGAAAGTTGTGATTCAAGGTACAAAGTTTAATTTTTAAAAAGCACATGCCTACACAGGGTGATTTCGTTGAACACGATAGATTATAGAGATTCTCCAAGAGGAATTTGGATCTTTTGATATGTCTTAAGATTATAAGGACTGAGGAACATTGTAGGCTTGGGCCTGGCAGTGACTTGGATCTTGGGGCTTGGGAAGCGTTTTAGGCTGGGGTGTGATTATCACACTGTGATGTGAGCATAAGGAGATTGATGGGATCCGCAGCGACTTTGGGCTCGAAATCGTCTATTTGCATGAACGTTGAGTTTGAATTGGGATTTGTAACCATTTTTACGGGACGTGGGATATAGACCATTCTTGGAGGCAGTAAAGACTTCCCCTGACTTATGGAAGAAGCTGCGCATAAAGCCTGGCATGAAGATGCTGACGACGAAAATTTTATCACAGGAATGAAGATGGAGCTGCTATCAGTAAAGGTCACATCCATGTCTTGGACAATAGGGCGACCATTCGAACCTTAGAGCAGGAGTAAAGAGGAGTAGTAACCTGGATTTGGAAAATGAAGCAGTTTTTTTCCAGGTATTTTGGCACCAAGAAAATGGCGCTTATGGCAATTCAATGCTTTACCTGTATCTTGGTGCCAAACACCTGCCAAAAATTTGGCTTCACTTTAGTTTCATAAGCAGAATGGCGCGTTCCTACTCCTTATGTTCGTAGGACAGCGCTTTCCTGCTCTAAGATTCGAACGAACTGCTGGTCTAGGTATTCTAGGGTCTCTCGGATAATGGTGGCGTTCTAGGCGCTGTTTCAGTTTTCAGCTATGAGGTTTTCTCGAAATGTAAGCTGAAATAAAAAAATGGAAATTGCACTCTTTCACAGCAGAAGAGATGCCCTCAAATCTATCTAGTACTTAGGACGGTACCAACTGTACCACCAGAACGTTTTTTCTCCACACTTAGAAAGTTCAGATTCCATTTAGGTAGTTTATTTGGCCAAATTAATCAATTAGCGGTCAAGATGCGGAGTAATAATCAGGAAATCCAATAGATAAATGAAAAAGTTTACTAGCAAGAAAACTCGGAGTTTATTCAAATTTGAAGTGGTAATAATAATCCTGGCTAAGTGCCTGCCCTGTATTCAATGCTGCCTTGCATGCGGAAATATTTTTCTTCGACACAGTTATTTTTGTTTCAAAATAATAATTAGTAGATATTCATATCCAAGCCATAAATTTTTACGGAAAATTAAGCAAAAAACACAACTGAGTTATTCAACTGAGATTTAAATACTTCCAATTACCTAATCTACTTCATATAAATGATATACTTGTAACCAGAATATATGCGTTCCTTAAACTTTCACAATGTCGACATAATCTATATCTGGCTAGAATCTTAAATACTGGGCTAAGTAGTTGACGTTGGCAAACTCAAACGAAGGATTGGGCTAATAAAAACGGAAATAATTGGTTTGGTTTCTACTTCAAAAGCTCTTGCAATAAAAAGCAAAAGAAAAGAGAAATTTTATCGTGAAAAACAATGCCCAAACCGCAGTCTCAAAATTAAAAAAAAAAAAACAATTACACTTTTATAATAATTGTCATTATGTGAAATATATTGAGTTCTTATGTTGTTTTTGAATGAATAGTTTCGACCCATCAGACCACAAAGCGTAAGCTTTTTCTCTTAAATAATAATGCAGAGTAATAATTTTTCATTTCGCTCACTTTTATGTGAAGCGTGAATTATTGGAAATAATACACGAGGTGTGTCATTGTAGGTACCTACGTTTTAAAACATAAATTGCTTGACTTGCCGTCAAAAACCTCTTCAAAAATTGGATATTTATTTAATTTCTGGAAATATTGCTCCATTATTGGAGTTACGCTGCTTGCATTTCCAATTTTTGTTCTACAACTGTTCTAATCATATTTTTCCTTTGTTTCAGGACCACATACAAGAAGTTTTGGATAAATGGACTCAAATTGATGATGAAATCTGGGCTAAAGTTATCGTATTAGAAAGAAACAGAAGGGTGGCTAAAGCATACGCGCGCGCACCTGTTTTAACTGTTAACGGATCAGATGACGGATTTGATGGTTTCAGGTAAATTATGATAGATGAATATTAATTTAAGTCAATTCTCTTTTGTTTGCATTGAGCTTTTTTTATCTACTAATCCAAACGAAATTTTCCGTTCGGTTGGTTGCTTGATAATTATCTACAAAAACCAAAACGGTGGCATGGTCTAAACAATAGATTCATGGAAAGCAAGAGAAAAAAATGTTTGTTACTTCCGAAAGTGAATGTTTGCTTTTTTGTGGGAGACCTACTGCAGCCTACCTAGTGGACCAATTTGTTTGGTGTTTCTTGGGATAGAAACTAAAATAAATTTTGTCCAGCTAATTTAAATCAGACAACTCAAGTGGCTAGTCTCAGAGTAGATTCCACTCAAAGTTGTAATGACACGATAAAATTATCCTTTATTTACAATTTAATTTATAAGTGGTAATGTAAATTTAACATTTCCTTTGTTGAAAGCAGCAGTCTAACTGCCACTGTCAAAATAACGCACAATATATCTTGGCTATGATACATTTAGCTTGTTATGGTAACAACACAACACCTAACAGAGTGGGATTATTTACATCGTTTTACAATCTTGATGTTGAATGTCTCATTTAATTAAACATCACAGAACTAACATTAAAATAATTGTGCTGCATTGTTTTACGATGTCATGGTAATTGCTCCAAGTTTATTTAATCCCAGAAAAGATTTTTTTAAGACATTAAGGCTTTAAATTTGATTTCAAAAAATTATAGGTATATGGACGATTAGATAGTTGTGTTTCAAATAATTACAAATAAACATACCTTTGATAATTACCTTTTGGCTGCTAAAGGCCGGTTTAGCCAGCTAATAGTGTATAATGCACAATTCTTAATTCTTAATTCACAATTCATAATAGCCAATGCTTAATGCACAACAGAAACTAGTGTTTATACAGCGCGTAATTATTTATGCATAAAGAAAGTGACAGCTGGCTTATTTGCTGTTTGTTATTGTATTATCAATATTGAAATATCAATTTTAATTCAAGATATATATTGTTTTACTTTATTTATTTACGATGAAGGTAAACAACAAGGATTTAGGGCAATCAAACTCAAAAAAATGTATCCACTTGTGACAGACGCATGCGCACAGGCCAATTTTTACTGTGATTTAGTGTTTAATTCTTCAAAAGTTAAAAGTTAGTGAACTTAGTGAATTGTGAATTATGCACTAATAGTTGGCTAAACAGCTACATATAAAACTGAAGTTTTAAAATTAGGGATTAAGAATTAAGAATTGTGCATTATGCAATATTAGCTGGCTAAACCGGCCTTAAGATAGATCATTAAATAAACCCTAAACTCATCTCATGAAATGACATAATATAACTTATTTATATAAAAATTATAATTTACACGAGCCAACTTAATGTCAAAAATATTCCATAACTTTGCATAAGCCTCCAATAAACCCACAGTTTCACCAGTCAACTTGGTCGGCATCTTGTCTTTTTTTATATTTCTGTCTAAAATTTTTATTACACAATTCGCCTGCGAGGAGGCTCTTAATATTCATTTATGCGCCGAAATGGTCATGGATATAAAAATGCTGTTAAATCCTTATTATTTCTAATAAAATTTTTAAAAAATGAAAATAAAAAAAAGTTTGAAATAATTAAGATTAGGCATAACTATAGAACCAGTTTCAATTTCACTTTTACTTGTTTGGATTTAGTATTATTGAAAATTAAAACTTGAATATACGAATGACTAACTAGTTGTGAGTTTGTTGAAAACCTTACCTTTTTAAATTTTAACCCAATTACCATCTGACTTGAGTTAAAACCAAAGGCGTAAGTTCTTCCAAGAATTTTTATAGGTTCAAACATCGGTTTTAAATCGGTGATTAAATCAACTGAAAGTAAAAAAGTCGAAAAAGCAAAAGTACTAAGGCCGATCTTGATAGGTCCTTGAAAACAATCGAAAACGGCCAATAAATTTCAAAGTGAACCAGCTTTGTATACACTCTCCGCCATTTTGCTGGTCGTATTTTCCCCTTTTTCCGAACTCTCGTTAAATTGAATCGTCAGTAAAAAAAATGGGAACAAGAAAAGGATGCATGCGATTCGTCTTTGACGAGATTGTCCCTTATATCGGCGATTCAATGCAAATTAACAATTTTTAAAGCTTTGCAGCGGTAACAGTTCAAAACCATTCCATGATGACTGACAAAGAAAAAATGAGAAAATATTTTTTAAACGCCTTCTGTAATTAAGTGTCAAAAATGTACCTGACAGGCGATTCTCTTCTCGCCAGCCAAGTACCTATTAATTCCCTGGGCATTATCATCAGCGAAACCTCTATGAAAACAATTTCTTCTCAGAATATCAGTTTAAATATAAAATACGAAAATACAATAATTGGTAATGGTCGATGTTTTTAATCTAGTTTAGCGAATAGAGTTTGAGTAAAAAATAGGTATTATAAATACTTTATCCTTATAGGTACCTAATATGTCTATCTATCTAAAAATACGGAGTACGTGAACTTATCTGTCCAGGCATCCGCCACTCAAAGCGCCAGAAAGTATTTTGACGTTGCTGACATGTACGCGTACGCAGCAGGGTTAATTTTTTAGTGCGCCTCTGCAAAAATGAGAAGTGGGAAATTCACGTCCCCATACGGATATTAACCTCACTCCTTCATGGATTTTGGGTCTACGTTAGAAACCATGGCATTGCCGACTGCGATGCGTTTTCAATAATTATTCTATCGGTGAACCATGATAGCTCAATTTTCAATCGGTTTAAAATGGCACTGTCAGTAATTATTGGCGGCCGTATTTCAATAAAAATAAATCCCTAATACCTACTTGATACTACTGGAAAGCTTGATACGACACGATTTGTCTGCGTTGAATATGAATCGGTTTAAATCAGGAGAAAACGATTGGTTTTGGGCAAATAGAAAATAATAGATAATCAAAAGTCCCAGAAAGCTTCAAGACGACCATCTCAAACCCTAATGTCGCGGCTCTTATAAAGCCAATGGTTCCATGGGCGCCGGCAGCGGGGTGCAAGGGGGTGCACTTGCACCCCCCTGTCAGAAATACTTTTAAAAAATTATTTTTATTTTATTAAATTTTTGTTTTTAATAGTTACTGTTTGAAAAATTGGCCAAACGAGAAACGATGGCCCCTTCGCACTCTTTGTTTCCCTCGACATTCCTCGGCTCACTTCCGGCTCGGATCGGGTTACCTATTTTATTTTTATTTCGCGCGACATCAACCTGTAGAATGGCGGAAATTTCAAATTTACTCAAATTCTAGTTTATTGATATAAATTTCTTTAACTTCTACGATTTGATAGCCCGAAAAAGGTATTAAATTGCGAGAAGCCCGTGCCCAGGGGCGGACATATCACCGGGCAGTTCGGTGCGCCGCCCAGGGGCCCACGGTCCAAAAGGGCTCCACGATATTGCGGAAAATTTTCAATGTGAAGAAAAAAATGTCATAAATCATTCAAAACAAGTATAATAACATTTTAATAAAGCTACTTTCAATAAGGACTCAATTCCTATCTTCTAAATTATCATTTACCATACCGCCCATGCCTAATAATATTCGTTTCTGTGGTTGAGAGCATCTGGCAACGCTGAGCGTGCTTCCGAGGTATTCCGAATATATCCGACCATAATTCCGAGAAACACAGATCGACCCAACAGTTCATATATTGAGATTTGATTACCACTATTTCCAGGCCGCATTTTTATTTTCCTACTTTTTATGTGACACTCAGAGGCAGTGGCGCACCCAGGTGGGGGGCATCGGTCCAGCGCCCCCCCTAGGCCGCCCGTACAAAACTGTACTTTTACGTACAAAAAAATTTGATATCATGGCGTGGCACCCTGACACGTCAATTTTTTATTTAGATTTTTATACACAAGCCACAACCTTTGTAGTCCCACCATTCCCCAAACATCTTTTCTGGGTGCGCCACTGCTCAAGGGATAGGTTAGGCCTAGGGGCCCCCAAATATATTTTGTCCTGAGGGCCACTCGTCCCTAAATCCGCCACTGCCCGTGCCACTTTCCACCGAGGTGAAAATATCATATAATTTACTTAATCAACTAGGAAAATTATTTTTCTCAAAGCTCAAAATAACAGTTTTTGGGCGTGGCACTCAGAAAAAATTTCACGTCTCCGGCAGCTCCTGCGTCGGGCATTCACCTTCTTAAATTAGTAATTTGAACCAATATAACTATCCACGCGACGCCACTGCCCGTATGCACCTCCCTGAAACTAATCCTGGCGGCGCCCATGAATGGTTCAACCCCCATTAACCTGCTCTGCCCAAAATATAGCTCAAACCCCTAAACGCCCTCAAGGGGGCGTTAATGACATTTGAAATCTGTCAGTTCTGGGCTTCGTTGACCTCACATCAGATTTGGCTCAAATTTGATCACAGAATGTTTATGCCGAATTTGAGCCAATTCTGATGTGAGTTTATTTTTCTTCTTTTTGCACGAATTTGAAAAAATGAACACAGATTTCAATGTCATCAATGCCTCCTTAATCATACACTAAATAAGTCCTACGCCCGTATTCACCAAAATCATTTTAGCTATCTGATCAGCTGTCAGTCTGTTAACATTTATCGGCCAGCAAGTGCCATTCACCAATAAAAATAGTCTTTCTGACAACAAACAGACTGATAAAAATACAAATCCATATATTCTGTGAACAGTTTTTCTCTTCATTTCATTTAACAACCTCAAAATTTGTCTGTATTGTATTTATTTATTAATAATAACTTTTCTTGGGCTGTGAAACAAGTGAGCAACTTCCTAATCCTAATAATTTGTCTAATAATAATTAATTATCGTATACGAATACCAAATGGAAAAAGAAACGGAGCAGCTAACTTTTCTGGTCGCGGAAAGGAAATTCTAATTTCTTCGGTTGAGAAATATTTAATCGGGAATAGGAAAACCAATGCAGTTGGTTGTGATTGTTGTGAAACATTGAAATGGTCACCGCAATACAAAGTT